AGTAATCAAACGATTATGCCGCCACCCTGACCTTGTCATGGACGGATTAATCATCTGTGTCGTCCAACATTCGGCCAGCGACTGCCGTCTGCCTAACAGCATTGTTTCTGAAGGTAGAGCGGCAAATTATGAGGCTGATAGTCTAGCTAGATTCTCATTCTTTCGATCAAGGGGGGACATTTGTGGTTGATACAACGCCGTGATCCATTTTGTATTCCGCTACATGCGGAGCTTGAGCAATAAAGTCTAGCTTTACCCCTAGAAAAATTCCGCCACTCACACACCCAAAGGATCTTCTATGTGGAGCTCGCCGCCGCATAGCCCGATATGGCTAGTGTAATGACAGACTATGTATTTCCATTATGCGATTATAAATAGAAAAGGGGATGGCCCGGTTGAAAAAAAATGCAGTTCGCTGCGGCATTCTGCCGAGCAAACGTAAATAGCGCGCTCGCCTGCAGCGACTCGGTTTTCCCCGTAATGGCATTGTAGCTACCCTGATTTTTTACCAAAGCACATGGTTTTTTGATTGTTTTTTTAAATAATTTTTAAAACATTGAAAAAGTTTAAATTTCCACACAATTTTGAAAGCACGGACATTTTGTTAAAACCTTGTGGACAGTTTTCAAAATACAAACATGTTTTAACACACTACCACATTTTCGAATGCATGATTATTTTAAAACATGGACACTTTTTGAAATTGTCAACAATTTTGGAAAACCGAGGCATTTTCGAATAAAATAAACATTTTCTTAACAAACAAGATTTTTTAATACAGGTGAACATTTTTGAAAAAAAACTGAAAAGGAAAAATGGAATGAAAAAAACCTGAGAAAACCAAAAAAACAATTGGAAAGCTAGAAAGCATAAAGAATTGGACCCTCCACTCAAAATAGAAATAAAATAAAAATAAGAATTAGACTGAAACCTTCCGGAAGGTTTCCAAAACCAAAACTGAAACTTGCTGGTTGCAACTTCGTCGTTGTCCATGGCTTTGTTGTCTATGGTTGGAAATTTTTTTCGTCACCAGTTGAAGCTTTTCTCGTTGCCTGTTGCAGCTTTCAGAGTTGCGCAACGCCCGCCCCCCAAAATCTGTCTTCTAGTTAAAGTTTTTTTCGGTTCCATGATGGTCTGATTGAAGCTTTTTCAAACTACAATTGAAGCTTTCATGTGAATGATTGTAGCATTTTCAGTTGCATGTTTGTACGGTTGAAGCCTTCGAATCAAAACGATGGAAGCTTGTCATATGAACGGTTCCAGCATCGCCTTCGCTGTCGCGCGCCATCAACAGTCACCAGCGTCGCGCGCGGCCTCTTGCGGCTCCCCCTCCCCCCATGCCCGCCGTTGCATCTCGCCCTAGCAGCAAGGGCTCGTCGTGCTGGTGCGCTGCGTGTGGTGGCGGAGATGGAGGAAAAAGAGCCAATTGCAACAGCCCCTGCACCGCGTTGTGGGGAAGAAGATGATGTGAAAAGAAAAACAATTCAATTGAGGAGCGCTCCCATGGCCTCCGCGGCGCATAATCGAGAGCGATTGTAAGGCTCACCTGCGACTGGCCCAATCTTGGGCCGGCCGCCCGGCCATAAACATTTCCTTTATTTTTTCACAACGAGCGGCAGATAGGATTTACCCTCACGGAAGGCTCCCACTGTGGGCCGGCCTACTTCCACATCCTTGCTTTCCGGTCTCTTGTGAGCTCCCTCTCTAGTGTTTCTCCACGGCAGCAGTGGTTTGTGTTCCCAAGAGAAAACAAATGCCTTTTTTCATATAAAACGACGTTACATCTCATCAGGTATCTTTTCTTTTTAGCATCAGTACAGACACAAGCGCTCATATACACGCGCATACACTCACCGCTATGAACGCGCACACACACACTCTACCTCTATGAACATTTTCAAGAGACTGAGCCGTCATATCATCTTGAGATCTACAAAGCAGGGCCGGCCCTGGGGCATGGGCGACGGGGCGACGGCCCAGGGCCCAGGCGAGGGGGGGCACATGATGGAGTATATACATATACTATAGCCCAGCAAAAAGCAAGTAAAAATTATAAAAGAATTAAAGAAAAGAAATAGGATGGGCTAGGCGGCCCAGATATAGCTAGCTAGCGATCGCTGATGGATACACGTAGGCGAGGCGGCGCCGTGACTCACACTCATTTCGATGTTTCCTTCGTAGGTTCGTCGCCCTCGCCCGCCCGTCGGCCTTCTCGCTCGCTCGGTGCCTTGCCCTTTGGCCCTTGCCGCGTAGCCCTCGCCTCGTCGGCTCGCCGTTGCCGCCACACATCAGTCCGGCAAGCAGGCGGCAGGCCGGCCAATCGGCCATCCGGCATTCAGCACGGCGGCACCGCGGCAATACGACAATTCCTATACAAATACGCATCTGACTGGAAGTCAAGAAGTACGCATTCATGTTCCTGTCCATCCCCAAACCTCAATTTAACAATCTCAATAGTTTATTTATTCTTTATTTAGTATGTACGTATTGTAATCCAATATATCAATTTTTTGTCGTTCTATGTAACATGTCTAGGGTTCCAATCATCCGATCTATAAATTCCTAACTTTTTGTATGCTCTTCTGATCTTTTCTTCATGATTTTAGGACATTAGCCTGTCATGTTACCTAAGAAGAAGCAATTGTCGGGTGCTGAAAAAAGGAGGAAAAAGAAAGAAAGTGATCTAAAAATTCTAGCACTGAAGTATTATTGTTGTTGATGGAGTCAGTCTAATTTCATTCTTATTTGAGGTAATCATGTCATGTTAGTTTCATTTTGCGATCTTTTTAGTACCATTGTTTTTTATGGAGTCGGTTCGAATTTGGTTATTATTGTTCTCGATGGAGGCATTTGAATTATTATACTCATATTTTAAACTAAAGACATGTGATTGAAAGTTACTTTTAATAAGTTATATATATAACACACGCATACATATATATTGTCTTAAGACTTAGGACATAGGGGCCCATGTCATCGAGTTCGCCTAGGGCCTCCCGAAACACAGGGCCAGCCCTGCTACAAAGTCACCGTAAACGCCTCGTCGTCGACGGAAACGTCTCCTCTCACATCTCATCAGGTATCTAGGGTGTGCGAACCGAGTGATTGCCACCTACACGTCGCGTCTACACGGCGACAGCGTAGCCCACAACCTGGCCTTTTTTCCCCGCAAAGAAAAGAAAGCTGGCCTTTTTTTCAAAGAAACAAACACGCACAAAAGAAAAGGCAGAATAAAACGTCGTTGCCATGGCCATGGATATGAAAGAACAACCTGCCAGCCAGCCAAACTTGTCACCTCACACCTCCGGGGGGATAGGCAAGGTATCCTGTCCAGCATAAAGAAACGTTCTTCACGACGCCGCACGAGCAGACGACGACGAGAGGCGAGTGAGGGCCATGAATATTCTTGGACGGAGACAGGGATTTCGCATCCCGAGGAAAAGCATTAAACGCCGACGCGATACATCATTCATTCAGTGAAAAGTTGCGATCCCCAGTCGGCCAGAAAGCGAGGCCGTCTGTTTTTCAACCCAACCCCCCGTGTGATCTTTGAGTCGTGCAGAATTGCACCCATGAGCCTCTCTACTCATCAGAGCATCTCCAAAAGCCTCCGGTTTTTCCAGTGATTTTTTGGTATTGGCAATAAACCTTTTCGTATTGAAAGAGTGGAGCCAAAAAACATGCTTCAATGTAGTAGTACTCAGCCGATCTCCCCGCTATATATATTGAAGAATTTGGCCTCTCTCCTAATATTTTTTCTCAATAAATGTCACGTCTGTGTATCGCTCAAGTAGCCCGCCAGATCATCGTGCCATCGCCATCGCGGGCCGTCGGACCACCGCCATAGGTCGCCAAATCACCGCGTTACCGCCAAACCGTTGTCGCAATTTGCCAGACCACTGCCGTCGCCGCTCACTAATAAGTGGGACCCATTGCCGTCGCCAGATCTCGTTTACTAAGTATTTTTGAGGATTTGAACTCTAAGAATGTTTTCCCTACGGAAACCCATTAAATCGTAGGATTGGGACTACTAAGTTTCTATCAAATCTATTCATGTGCCCACATTGCATGGAAACCTCATTTTATTTTTCCTTTCTTTTGCGAAATCATTTTATTTCTCCTTCAAGAAGTCCCTTCCACTTCCGCTCTATCCATCGCCTTCTCTTCTCAATTCTCCAAAATTCCTGTGCTTGTTTTCTATGTACCATCCAAATGCACATATTGCAAAAATCTAAAATATTGCATGGTTGGTGACATCTCATCCTTTGTTTTTTCTACTCCTACATTTTTAAATCCTGCAATCCTATGAAGCCTTTAAATGTGATAAAAATGTACACTGATAAATAAATATCCAGCTTTACAGGACTTGGCTGCAAAAGACAGCAAAAAGGCGAAAGAAAAACCTATTATAAGCAGCTCCTGTTCCAAAAAGAAAGGGCAAAAAAAAAAAACGAGCCCACGATCACCGCCGCACCACACACCCAAAAAACGCACGAAAAAATAATTGCGCAAGAGCAACGGAAACCCTCAAAACGGCAGAGCACGAGAGAACAAGAAAAAAAAGGAGAGGAAAAACCCAAGAAATCCGCCTTGCCCACTCCGATCTCTCCCTCCAGCATATCCCGCCCCGAGAATTCCCCTCGGATTTCCTTCCGGAGCTCCCCCGCCCAGATTCGCGATCCGAGCTCGGAGGATGCGCGGCGATCCCCTCCCCCATTCCCGCGCGCCCGGATCACACGGAAGGCGTGGTGGAGACTGACTGACCGAGGGCTCCGGCACGGGCACGCCGGGGAGGCGGTTGCAACCGATCCGATCTCGCGTCCGCAGGTACGGGATCCTGCCGCCGCTGGCACGCGATTGATTGCGTGCCGCGCGCTCTCTAGATTTCGCCGTCTCGCGGATTCCGTGGGCTCCGGCTCGGGCGGGGGAATCTGATCCGTGGCGTGCGTGCGCGGGCTTGGCAGGTTGCTCTGATCTGGCAGGGGAATGCGCGTGCCGACATGGTAAGCCGAGGAGGAGGAGCCGTGCGGTCGTTGCTGGATCGTCTGCGCCCGCCGCCGAGGGGGAGGAGGAGCCCCGCCATGCCGCCGCCCGCCGCCGCCGCCGCCGCTGCCAAAGGCGCCTGCTTTTGCAGCTTTAGCCACTCGGGCGCGCACGGCGAGGGGCGGAGGAAGGGCCTCCTGGATTTGGGCGCCGGCCGGAGGTTCGCGCCGGGCAGCGCGCTGAGCCTGAAGGGATGCCTGGACTGGCAGGATGGCGGCAGGTTCAGGAGGGCGGATGGTGGTGATGGCGATGCGGTGGAGATCAGGGCGCGGGTCCTTGCCCCGCAGCGGCAGTTCGTCCGTGATGCGGAGGTTCAGCTGTCGGAGGAGGTTGGCCTGAAGAGTGTGGATGGAAATGGCGCTTTCCGGCGGGGGAAGCGCCTCGATTTTCCTGAGCAGCCTGTCCCGACTAAGATGGTGGTTGCTGTTGATGTGGATGAAGGTATTGTGAAATTACATCTTTGTAATAGAGCTGTGCATCTCATGATTATGCAAGGCTGAACTTACATGTTGGTTGAATAAATAGTTCCTGTCTTTAGTGCCTAGGTTTCATGGTGCTTAGTCTAGAATCAAACTGTGAATTGGAAATTATTGCGGTGACATACATGTCATGGTGACCATATACTTTAATAAGTAACATTGTCTTTCAGTTCCTTATAATTTATCAATTCCCATTATGGTGCTATTTATATCGTGCAGTTCTTGGAAGCTTTCTTGCTGCTCTGAACAGATTTATTGCCGAGCGGTACTCTTGGAATCACTCAGTATCAGAATACCATGTCTATGAGTTCTTTAGGGTGCGTTATTTTTCCTACAAAAACTTGAATTCCTGCTATATTTTTCCTTTGATCAGTGTTTAATTCGTCTTGCATCTGTTTGCAATACTCTATGCAGATATGGAATTGTTCTCGAGAAAAAGGTATGTCTTGATTCTAATATTTTTCATCACGGTTTACTTCTTTATATCAAATGCACTTTATGAAATCAAGAATTTTTCTAAATTGCTGCAGCTAATCTTCTTGTCCATGAGTTCTTTACAACCCATTACTTTCAAGATGGTGTCCATCCTATCCCAGGCGCCCGAGATGCGCTCCAAAATCTTTCTTCGTTCTGCAGCCTGTCTGTAGTAACGTAAGTCAATCATTTGATTTTAGAGATGTGATCAGTTTATCTTCTATTATGTGCTGCCTGCTTAATGACATCCTTCCTTTTGAAGATCTCGCCAGGATGTAATAAAAAATCACACATTAGAGTGGATCGAGAAGTTTTATCCGGGCTTATTTGAGCAGATCCATTTTGGGAACCATTTTGCTTTGGAAGGCCAATCAAGGCCAAAATCAGAGATTTGCAGGTACGATTGTCGAAGGAACGTTATTCTAGTTTCCAGTCACATTAGAAGATTGGACATGCAGTCTGACTAGGATCACAACACATTAAAAAATGATGATTTTTAAAACTGCTGTTTACTATCTCATTTTAAGCTGTCACAACATGTTCTCAGCTAGTCTTACAGATAGTACGGAATGCCTTTGCAGATCTTTTGGTGCTCAGGTTTTGATAGATGATAACCCGAGATACGCTTTAGAATGCGCTGAGGATGGCATGAGGGTTCTGCTCTTTGATTACGATAACACATATCCCTGGTGCAAAACTGGTGTGGATCAATCACATCCTCTGGTGACCAAGGTTCATAACTGGCAGGAGGTTGAGCAAAAACTTCTCTCGTGGGTAGCACCTGAGAGCTGACATTCTTCCTTGTCCGATGTTAGCAGCAGAATTATGCTCAGCAGACAAGATCTCACTTTCTGAAGGAGGATGTTGCTTCCCTTTCAACATCTCAATACATAAACATGTCAAGGGTAAAGTAGAATACTCCATATCTTTGTTTGAGAGAATGACGATTGAACATCGCCTCACTGCAGTATGCTGGGTGGAAGGCAATCAGACTCAGTCTAGTATGCCCTGAGATGATCCAAGATTTGCACTCACAGTCACATGCTGAAGATCAAATTCTTTTTCAGCATGTTAGCTTCTGTGGTACTGTGGTGTATATACTGCCGCTGCTATATGCATTTGTTGAATCAAATACTTCATATCAATTGATCTGGTGCACACAATCTTATGAATTGGATCCTATGTCCTGAGTCCTTGTGGTTACAGTTGCGTGTTAAGTACCCAGATGGTTAATCCGTTCGCTTCGGTGAATACAATGTAAAACACAAGCGGATTTGAATTTGGAAGGGAGTAATGAGGTAGAAAAGAGAAGCACTGTACCCCATGTACCATGCCCACAATGTGAATATGAATTTTTGTATGGCAAATAAGTTTTTGAATACCTCTTTTCTTACAAATCTCAAAGCATGGTACAGATGCAGGGTGCACCTGGGCTGGGAAGCAAGAAGCAGTTTTTCGGGTGAAGACCTATCATATGCTAAAACTGCTATGCCAGTATACTTGTAAGAATACAAACCATACACTCACCATATGCACTTGAAATATCAGCAGCACCCTCACCAAGCTGGGGAAATAAGGACAACAGGGTCATGTGAGCCCTGGAGTCGCTCATAATTTTTTTACTTAGTTGGACTAGGATTCTTTCGGGCTTTTGCTGCCATCTGAAAGAAAGGTAGCCTAGTCTAGAACATATCTTGTCCTTGGCACTACAAATGCTTCTCTGGTTCATCACCTGAACTCACTAATTTTCTAAATACTTTGCATCATGCTGCAAGTAAATATCATATTGTCTTGATAATAATGAGTGCAATTGTGCTTGGTCCTGCTAGTAATTCTGGCCGCGCTTCATCCAACCGTTTCAATGTTTTGCTCATGTGAATTATGGGGCTGTACAAATGTGTATATAAAGGTTGCTTCACCAGTGGCGGTGCTACTCACAAGTTACGAGATCACCCCACATTCCTACTTTCCTGTAGGATTCTCAAAACGCAGAAATATGAAAAATATAGGATTGTGTGTCATGCCGACTTGAATTCTATGGGATTAAAACTACAGAAATGTAGATAAAAATGTGTTTGGCGACACAGGAAGACAGAAATTTTACCAAGAGGTTTGAGTGGAAGACATTTTCCCTTCAAAATAGAGCGCACATGAATCATAAATTTTTTCTAAGGATTTTAATCATGTGAATCAATAGGTACATGATGAAATGCTAGGTAGCAGTTGCTAGATTCGACTATACTGCTTGGGCGTGTGAGATCATGGCGTCTGTGTTCCACACACTTTTCTTAAACTGTGTTCCGCACACTTTATCCATCGATCGTCCCCAATTCGTCCACACCTTTCCACTTATATACACATCGTTAATCGGTTGGGCTCAACGGAATTATGTTCCCATTGTTCACTTAGATTCAATCTGAGTGGGTTTCGACGCATTAAATATGCTATAGGTCCCAAGACCCTACGAGAACATGTTTTGAGGGTCCTGAGTAATCTTACTCAACCTCTGGGTACTAATCTAGCTTCACGAGTACTCACAAAGTATACTGTTGAACCATGAGTACTCTTAGTAGCGTCCATGAGTACTCACAAAGTTATTTCGACAAACCTCACAATGTGGTACATGTTCCTAGATTATGTTAGCACTTAACCTTTGTCGCATGGCCCGGAAATTGGTAGGGGCACATGTGCATGAGGCCACCCATTTGCTTCAAGCTTGGTGCAACAGTTTATGTCATTAGCCCTTAATCCCTGCACTGGGGGTCCATGTATGCCAACTTTTAGCAAAGTTGCCTGCGTCACCCATCCCACCTCCCATGCCTTTTCATTTTATCTCAAAATTTGAACCTATTGTATGTTTTGAACCGTCCAAATTATGTTCCGTTTGCATGTTTGGTGCAACGAGTACTTTCAAACAATACCAATTTTCAATGCATTTAGACACTTCTTAAAAAAACACAAAGTTTCACCAAGTTTCATTTGCTTTTAGGGGTTTATGGCTTAGTGCTTGGCACTTAAGGTTTAGGTGTTAGGTTTAGGCTTTAGGGTTTAAGTTTTAGGCCTTGTTATATGGTGGTATAAGCCAAAAGCCGAAGCCAAAAGCTCCTATTTAGGAGCTTTTTTGGCTTATAGGCCAAAGTGAAAAAGATGCAAAAGCTGAAGCATAAGCCCGAACAAATATGGCCTTAGTCTTTGAAACTTGATGAATTGATCATTTGTTTTTTTCAAGTTTTAGTAGTTGAAACTTGCTGAAGTTTTTAAGATCTGTCACAATGTATTCAAATGTGAGTTTGTTTCAAAACCCTCGTCACAAGGAACACAAATATGCAAACGAAATATTAATTAGACTTTTGATTCAAAACATATAATATATTCAAATTTACAAGTCAAAAGGAAAATCATGGGAGGTAGGGTGGGTGGGGCATGCACTCACTACCAAAAGTTGTACCAAAGGTTGCATGCAACCACTTTTGGAATCTGGCGCAATCATGCGAATGTATGCATGCGTGCCCCCGCCTCTACGTGCCACAAACCGTCGTCCTCGCATGGCCATGCTTTCATGATAATTCGAAAGGGGCTAGAGATATGTCTCCAAATTAGAGGGGAACATCATGTCTTAATCAACCATGCCTTGCAACACGTTTCATGACAAGCCTGAAAACCACCTCGTCAAGGCGCAGTCGGCCGCATCAGCCCTTTTTCCGGCGCGGTCCCAACAAGCCCTTGCTGGGACATCGCGGTCCGGCTTGGCGTTGCGCCCCACCCTAAATTGCGAAAAAAAACAATGTAGTACCACGGGACAATATCTTTGGTTTGCAGAGATCTTGGCTGTTTGGAATGAATGTCTCATGGATATAACTCACAATATCTTGGTGATGCCTAGGAGCAAATGCGAGTATTAGACACTGAATTGTTTCTTATTTGTGTATCAGAGGGGAGCAAAGTAATTTTTGACTCATTGAATATAGAATCTGCAAGGATACAATACAACTTAATTCGTGAGTTGTTGATTAGATGAACGGTTCAATGCCCTTCTATCTTGGTAGAGATCATAGTCGCAAACCGAATAATAATTTGAGTGTTTAACTTGCTTGAATCGTGATCTAGATACATTGCTAGAAACCAGTGATTTTTCATTAAAAAAAAGAAACCAGTGATTTTTGATTATGTCTTTTACACCACAGTTGCTTTAACTCAAATCGCCGTACTAGCCCGAGCCATTGGTGGTGGAGCAATAGCTGCCCCAGGCCTGTCTCCGTCACCAGTCACCACATGACCACATCCACACAAGAAGTGTGAGGTCGCCAAGTTATGTTAACGTGCGTACGACCGTGTTGGTGAAAAGCGATCGGTGAACACAAAAACAACATGAACATTAATCGAAGTGCAAACCCTGAGATTGTAAAGGCGGACGCAAATAAACCCTGACCTCCAAATACGCAAAGTATGTACCCTGACCTCTATAGCGCCCGCAAGTGGCCGGGATGCCGGCTGTGGACAAGTTGTGTCTGTCTATAGCACCCGGCCGCTTGCTTCCCGAACGACACTGTTTTTTGGTGCGGTAGTTTCATTGTCGGGCGTTTCCGGCGGCGGCGCAATCCTTAATATTGGGATTGAACGCCACGCCGACAAACAAGCCAGCGTGTTGAGCCTGGTGCTCATCATTGCTGGGACAAAATTACTGTTCTGACCTATAAGGCTAACTAAATCCCGATTTGACCTCGTTTCGAAACAAATTTCGTTTCTGACCTTTTTTGGTGACGCCAAGATCCCTGGCGTCTGGGTTACGAAGCAGACGCCAGGGGCCCTGGCGTCTGGCCCCTGGCCCGCACTGCCCGCCTGCCTGTTGACCTGCTGACGTGGCAAACGGGCTAGACGCCAGGAACCCTGGCGTCTGGCCCTGGTAACTGGATAACGCCGCGGGGCCAGCCCACCCACCCATCTGTTCTTCTCCCTGCGGCGCACAAACAGAGGGGGTTATCTCCTTCGCCCCTCTTCTCCCTCACACCAATCCCCCCCTTGATCTACTTCATCCTCCACCCAAATTTGTGGATCTGAGGCCCCCAAGCTTCTTTGAGGTATTCTCCCCCATTCCCTCCAACTTGTTTTGCTTTTCCCCTCTCTTGTTGGATGCATTATTTCACATTAGGTGATGTTAGATTAGTAGATGGTTTCTTTGTTTTAGGAAATAGTTTGTAGTTGATAGATGATTTGGTAGGTAGTGTAGTTGGTAGATGTTTGTAGTTGTCCACCAATAGACATAGTTTGTGATTTTTTTGAATTATAGATGATGTATGCATGTGCTAGTAAATTAGCTATATGTTGAATATATAGATGGCATAATCTTTGTTTGAATCTGAGAAGACAACTTTGGCAAGCAAATATATTTAGAAAAAATATTATATGTGTGAAGTGGTATGACAATATAGTTGAATATATAGATGGCAATTTTTTTTTTGCAAAAGAGATGATGAAATTTGATTATTGTGTGTGACATGATTTGTTCAATAGAATGGCAGATGATGATTATGAAATTTATTTGATGGTGAAATTTGGTACTCTAGATGATATGTGTGCATATGTAGAAGAAAGAAATGATGTGGTTATTTTTGAGAAGAATGGTGTTTTCATATGGCATAAACTTGGAGAAGGAAATTGTTTGATATTGTTCATGTATTCATAGATGTTTGTGATTTGTTTTGTAGGATGGCAGATGGTGATGGACCTTGGTATGACGGATTAATCGATGAGTGGGATAAGGAGCATCGTGCTCGTGCCATTGAGAATGGACA